ACCTTTAGAGGTGAGCTCTGGTTTTTCTTGCATTTCCTGCAGAGGGAAACTGAGGCCAAAGAGCTTCCAGAGTTTGCCCGGGGGCCGCACAACAGGAAGTGGCAGGGCTGGGATTTGAACCCGGGAGGCTGGCACCAGTCCCGATCGGTGCCCCAGACAACCCCTCCGGTCACGTGTCCTCCCAGGGCGCGGCAGGTGATGGCAGGGGAGGGGGGCAGCTGTGGCACCTCGTGTTGGTGGTGGCTCTGTTTTCTTTCTGGCTCTGCAGCAGCGTTAACCCAGCACCACTTCCAGATGTCAAGCAGCCCTGGGGGGTTGTTGTGACTGAGCAGGAAGGGGAGGGGACGACAGTCCTGGGCGCCCTTCCCCGGAAGCCACCGTGGACGCTGGGCCCCTGGAATTGTGCAGGGCTGCATTTGCACAATGTCCCACGGCCACCCTGGCTGAGGCCTGTTCTGGAAGGCAGCACCGGGCCTCCATCAGCGGCCTCTTCCGTCGCTTAGAAATAGCAGGGGCTCCCTTGCAAAGGACCATCTGGCCGTTTTCCGGAAGCTTCCTGGCCTCAGGGCTGTGTGCCTCACGCCTCCCCTTCTACCTCCAAGACGCCACCTCCTTCCGAAACTCTCATCCTCCTCGTAATGGAGTTTAAGGACTGAAGGAGCAGGGACTCACCCTCCCACCCCCAGGAATCTCTTCCAGGAAGGAAACAGTCTCCCTGGAGCCTCGGAGGCTGGACTCCCACACCCCTGAGCACACATCTGCCTTCAAACTCGTTCAGGCTCCAGAAGGCAGGTGGCAAAATGTCCCATCCAGCGGTGCACAGCTGGCCCCAACCCAGCGGGGAGGACCTGTGGAGCCTTGGGGACACCTGCGGGGGTGGGGGGCGTTCTGGGCCGCGGATATGGCAAGGGCAAAGGCCCTGAGGTGGGAACAGCTCTGTGTGTTCGGGGGACAGCTGGGAAGCCAGTGTGGCTGGCGCTGGGGGAGCGACGGGGATGGGGTTTGACAGCTGGGTGGTCAGGGGCTGCTCCCCAGGACCTTGTTTGCTGTCGGGAGGGGGCTTGATTTTATTGTCAGCCCGAACATTACGTGTCAGAAGCTGGGCCGCGAGCTAAACCCTTGACGTTCACCGTCACAGAACCCTAGAGTTCGGGCGTCTCGGCATAACCCAATTCACAGACAAGCAAACCGAGGCACAGAGTGAGGAAGCTGCTTGCCCAGGTGGCCTGTCCCCGAGGCCCCTGGGGCTGACACTTCCTTCCCTCCCAGGAGGCCAATGGCCCCGCCCCAGGGGGACCTTCGTGGCAGTGGGGGTCCTTTGAAGTCCCAGCCCGCCAACCTGGCCGACCTGTTTCCTCCCAGACTCCTGCCTAGCCTCTCAGGGCTGCTGGGAGGGACGGAGGCGCAGGGGAGGGCAGGCAGGTTTGCTTTATTCAACGTATCTTTCTAGATTTTTCAGTTGCATGTATATTTTTTCAAAGGGTGCAGTAGAAAGCACGTCTCTCTCTCTCGCCTGACTCTCAGGTGCCCTCCACTGTCCTGCCCCAGACGCACCTGCCGGTTACTGGTGTCCACGGGACTTTCCAGGGCTGACCCGTGCTCGCACAGCCACAAATGCACAAATTAAACATGAACATATTCCGTACGGTACCAGTGAGAGGCCCACACTGAACAAAATAGCTTAAAAAATTCATCCAGTCAGGGCGCCTGGGTGGCTCAGTCGGTTAAGCGTCCGACTTCAGCTCAGGTCACGATCTCGCGGTTTGTGGGTTCGAGCCCCGCATTGGGCTCTGTGCCGACAGCTTGGAGCCCGGAGCCTGCTTCGGATTCTGTGTCTCCCTCTCTCTCTCTGCCCCTCCCCTGCTCATGCTCCGTCTCTCAAAAAATAAATAAACATTAAAAAACAAAAGGTCCATCAAGTCTGTCACCGGTCTCAGCACAAGAGAAACCTCAGCCCAGCCCCCACTGGGGAGCCTCCTGCACGATCCCCGACCAGGGCCTCCTCGGAAGCGTCCCGGGCCATCGAAAACAAGGAAAGTCTGCGACGCCATCACGGTCGAGGTGCCTAAGGAGATATGACGCCTGAATGTCACATGGCGTCCTGGCCAGGGTCCCGGAGAGAAGGAGGACATTAGGGAAAAGCAGAAAATCCGAGTGGAGTGTGGGCTTTAGTTAATAATAACGCACCCATACTGGTTTGTTCCTCGTGGCAAACGTCACCTGCAAGTGTAAGATGTTAATAAAGGGAAGCTGGGCGCCAGATGTCCTACCTTGGCAATTTGTCTGTAGCTCTGAAACCGTTTTGTGAAACAGTTTCTTTTTTAAAAACCCGGCAAGCACACGCAAGGGTAATGCGGTGCGTGCCCTATTGTTCATCTCTGGGCGAAAAAAATACGAAACAGAAACGATGCGGGAAGCATAGGTCTTCGAGGTGGCTCTGTGCCCCGGCTGTGGGACAGCCTCACCCTTTGTGATGGCCGCGTGGGGTCCCACCGGCTGGATGTCCCGTAACGGACGTACTGGGTCCCCTGTCGGTGGGCCCCGGGCTAGCTTTCAGGCTTTTGCTCCCATCGGCACCCGGCCACGCACATTTCTGCCCGTCCCTGGTTCCGTGCCTCGCTCCAGCATCTCTGCGGGGTCACCTCCCAGAAATGGAACAGTTGCTTCAAAGAGTGTCTGCATGAAGAGCTTGGGTTTTGATGCCTGGCAGGGGTCTTTCCCAAAAAGATGGGGACAGATAGGAGGAGGGGGCTTAGCTATATTACAGAGGGTGGTCAGGGAAGCCCTGTCCGAGGAGGAGACACTTGAGCAAAGACAGGAACAAAAAGGTGCAGCCGTGTATGTGTGCAGAGAAGAGGGTTCCAGGCAGGGGAAACAGCACACGCAAAGGCCCTGGGGTGGGACCATTTCCGGTGTGTTTCAGGAGCAGTGAGGAGGACAGCGAGGTGGGGCAAAGTGGGTGGGGGGACCGAAGATCACAGACACTGCAAGGAGCCAGCTCCTGGGGACCTGATTCAGCCACTGGCAGGAACTGGGATTGTATCTTGAGCCGGACAGGAACATTTGAAGGGAGGGTCACGTGACCGGCCTGATGTCGGTTTTACGAGGATCCCTCTGGCTGCTTGGAGGGAGAGGGGGCAGGGTGGATGTCAGGACAGCAGGGAGGGGGCTACTGCAAGAGTCCAGGCTGGAGAACTTGGTGGACCAAGGTGTTCACTGTAGGTGGGGAGAGGGGGCAGATTTGGGGTGTATTTTGAAGGCAGAGCTGACGGTGCTTGCTGAAGTCCAAGGTTACTAGGTTAGGGCACAACATAGTATGTCAGTTTTTGTAGGGACGCTATCACAGAGTGCCGCAAACTGGGCTGAAAGCAACAGAAATTTATTCTTTCAAGTTCTCAAGGACAGAAAGAGAGAGAGGGAGACACAGAATCCAAAACAGGCTCCAGGCTCTGGGCCGTCAGCACAGAGCCCTAAGCGGGGCTCGAACCCGCAAACCGGGAGATCACGACCCGAGCTGAAGTTGGACGTTTAACCGACTGACGCACCCAGGCGCCCCATGAATTCTGAGGTGGGGACAGTGGGGGAAGAAGCTCTGTGCCGCCCGCCCCAGTCCCGTCCATAGCCCCCTCGAAATTTGCCAACTCTCCCCAGACTCTGTCTCCACCTCTGTTGCCTTCCTCCCTCCTTCCGGTTCAGGCAGCCAGACCCTCTTATCACCCACGCGCACAGCTTCCTTTTTAGGCGGAAGGTCGTTATTTTCACACCTGCTGGGAAAACAAGCAGGCGCTCTCCTGGGGAGGGGGGAAGTACTTGGGGAGCCGCTGTTTGCAGGGCTGAGCCTCGGGACTCCTCAGGGTGCTGGCTGGGGCTGGACGATCCGCACGGCTTTACCCACAAGGGTGGGCACGGCAGCTAGGCTGGCTGGAAGGGCTGGGGCAGGCGGGGCCCATCTCTGCATTTGTCGTCTCTCCTTTCCTCAGGCTTCTCTCTGCCCATGGGCTTGCGCGCGTCCTTCCTGAAACTGGCCTGAGCTTCTATTCGCAGAGGAAGCTGGATCCCAAGTGAGGGAGAGCGGACGCTGCCGGGCCTCTTAAGGCTTAGTCCCAAACTGGCGTGAAATCACTCCCACTGCTTCCTATTGGCCAAAGCAGTCAAGGAGCCCACCCACTTTGGGGGAGACTCCGCCCCCTGGTGGGAGGAGCTTCGGGGCACACGCAGACAGGAGAGGCGTGAGATGTGCTGATGGCCGCCTTGGCGGAGAGCCCTGGCTCCCCTGCAGCCCGCTTCCAGCTGGCCTGCAAGGTCTCAGAGGCTTCGGAGGACAGCCCGTCTCCTCCGTGAGACGCTAGCGAGATGCAGGGGCGAGGAGTCTTGTTTTATAAAAAAAAAAACAAACCAACAGGGAGGGGGGTATGATATCCCACCAGAGAGCAAACATCCGAGCCACTTGGCACTGGGCTCTGACAGGGAGGCTGAGCGCACGAATTAGAGGTTTGTGAGAATAAACAGTCATTAAAACTCGAGAACTAGAAGGGAAATAAACACCATCTCAAGATACTGGGCTGATTTGGCCCTGCATTCTGCCAGCCTGCGAATCGGCCGGTTTCTGGCTTGCTGAGGGGTGTGTGTGTGTGTGTGTGTGCACATGCAGGTGGATGTGCATGCATTTTGCAAGCCCTCGAGTGTCTTCCCTCAGTGCCTCAGTCTCCTCAGCTGTAAAATGGGGACAAGAAAAGCAAAGCGCTAGGGGGCGCCCGGGTGGCTCAGTCGACTCAGGTCATGATCTCACACTCCTGAGTTTGAGCCCCATGTCGGGCTCTGTGCTGACAGCTCGGAGCCTGGAGCCTGCTTCCGATTCTGTGTCTCCCTCTCTCTCTGCCCCTCCCCTGCTTGTGCTCTCTCTCTCAACAATAAAAACATAAAAAAAGAAAGAAAAGAAAAGCTCAATTCAGCGCTGTTAGGACAGTTAAATGAGGAAATACAGTGCCTACCACCTAGTATGCATTCAGGAAATGTAAACTTTAATTTTCTCTCTTTCATTTGTTCATTCGTTTGTTCATTCACTCATTTAGTGAATACTTAGAAGGCCCCTACCGATGGAAGCCCTTAGCATGGTGTTAAAAATCCAGGGGCGCCTGGGGGGCTCGGCGGGTTAAGCCTCCGACTCCTGCTATCCGCTCAGGTCATGATCTCACGGTCCTCGAGATCAAGCCCCACGTCGGGCTCTGCCCCTCCCCCGCAAATAAATAAACACACATAAAAAATTCCAAGGCGGTGCTGGAGTCCCTGTACCAGCCCGTGCTCCAACCAGAGAGGGGCCAGGGAACAGCTTTCTTGAGGAATGAACGAACAGGGCACTGAATTTGCCCATCAGGCTCCGGCCTGGAGAGGAGACAGACGGGTAAATAAATCAGTGCAAAACAGTGCAACAGGAAATGCAAAACAGTTCAAGATGCGGGTTTCGCCCAAAGGGAGAAGGACTGGCTTTAGTGGAGTCGCAGACCCAGCGGCCAAGGGAGGGAAGGGCTCTGAGAGCAGGATGCCCTCCCGGACCCTTTTATTTAAAAAAAAAAAAAAAAATTTAACCTTTTATTATTTATTTATTTATTTATTTATTTTTTAACGTTTATTTATTTTTTGGGGACAGAGAGAGACAGAGCATGAACGGGGGAGGGGCAGAGAGAGAGGGAGACACAGAATCGGAAACAGGCTCCAGGCTCTGAGCCATCAGCCCAGAGCCCGACGCGGGGCTCGAACTCACGGACCGCGAGATTATGACCTGGCTGAAGTCGGACGCTTAACCGACTGCGCCACCCAGGCGCCCCTAACCTTTTATTTTTATTTTTGAGACAGAGAGAGACAAGGCATGAACGGGAGAGGGGCAGAGAGAGAGGGAGACACAGAATCCAAAGCAGGCTCCAGGCTCCGAGCCGTCAGCCCAGAGCCCGACGCGGGGCTCGAACCCACGGACCGCGAGATCGTGACCCGAGCTGAAGTCGCACGCTTAACCGACTGAGCCACCCAGGTGCCCCACCCCGGACCGTTTTAAATACGGGTCGATGATGGCCTCTGACCCCAGTCAGGAGACAAGGGAGCCCTCCCACAATCGCTGCACTCCAGGCCATCCCCCTGCCTCCGTGTCCTCAGCCCCTGAACCCCGGCCTCCTGGCTCCCGGCAGGAACTGTAGGAAGCAGGAGTGAGGCCCGGTGGCCATGGTGAGGAGGGTTTTATATCGAGAGGACTTCCGAGTCGATCTGGGGGGCGAGTTAATGAGTGACTCTGCATATTTAATCAAAACCAGGCGCTGCCTCACAGACGTCTGCTGCGAGCAGCCCTGACCTCTGGAGAGGCTCTTCCACAGGGAGAGGGGCCCGGAAGTTTTCCAGCGGCTTCTGCCCAAGAGGTGGGGATCCGCAGGCCGCAGCATTTGGAGCCTTGAGTCCAGGCTACGCGTCGGATCTCCACTGGCTGTCAGGGAGCCAGCCCTCTAGATCCCCGTCTGTGCCTCTAGAATGGGGTCCCTGTCCAGGCCGACCCTCTGATTTGTGGGGCCTGGGGCTAAAAAAACACAGAGGGTCCTTTGTTCAAACACGAGGAAGAAGTTCAAGATGGCGGCAGTGCGGTGTCAAACCAGGTCACGAGATCTTCTGAGCGTGGGTCCCCCCCTCCCCCGAGTGTACAAGCGGGACTCCCAGGAAGCTGTCCCCATCGGCCCCCAAAGGGTAGGAGCACACAGCAGAGTGTGGACAGTCAGATGCGCCTGGATCCTCCCACGTGTGAGTTGGCTAGACGTGGGCTGGGGACCAGGAGAGCTGGAGTCTGGGGCCTCAATTTCTCTGCCTCCCTTTCAGTTTTCTGATTTACCAGGTGGGTACTGTCGTCCTGTCTTCCTGCCCTCCCCCTCCCCCCCACCCCGCCCCAGGGGGATGCAGGCCTGGTTGCAGAACAAAGCAAACCCTCAAGGGCCCCAAAATACAAAGGGTGATTGTGCAGGCGCTTAGCTTCGGCCTCAATAGCGACTGTTGTTGAGTGCCGAGCGGGTACGTGGTGCCAAGCTGAGGTCAGCGCCTTGCATCCAACAGGTGCCAAATAAGTGCTGGCTCCCAGACTTGAGTTGCCTCCCACGGACGGAGCTGGGAAGCCCTTTCTTACCATCTCGTGTTTGCTGTGGCTCCTTCCTGCGCTTGGCGGCTCCATCAGGGAGGAGAGGCGGGTAGGAGGCAGATGGGGAAGTCGGCAGCATGAATACTTCCATCCTGGAGGCCCCGAGAATGCTGCGCAGGCACAACGACCGGACCCATCTGTGGACAGAGACCCTAGATCTAGAAAGATGAGAAGTCCCGCCCCGTTCAGCCCCAAAGGAACCAGGCATCACAGACTCCCTCCATGGTCCACTGGGCCCTAGAAGATCTGGCCTGTCCACTCTCCCTGCTCCCACGATGCTCTGGCTGCCTTACTGCTCCCTGAATATTGCAGGTGCAATGCCACCTCAGGGCCTTTGCACATGCAGTTCTGGCCGCCAGGTATTCTCCTCCCTCAGATATTTGCAAGGGTCAATTCCTCTTTGTTCTCTTTCTGTTCAAAGGTGGCAGCACCCCTCGCTGTCCCTCTTCCCCTTTCCAGCGGGGCACTCCTCAGATCATCGTATTTGTTTGTCGTCTCTCTCCTTCTGAAGTCCG